ACATCCTGAACCTCTGGTGAGAGACTTGCTATCCATTAATGAACTAGCTCTCTCCAGCCAACACTGCATTTTGCCGAGGTCTTAAAATTAATGTAATATTTCTCCCTGACTTGTGCTTTTATTGGCCAAATGGCTGTATCTCTGCTTCCAGCAGGGCTCAGTACATTTACCTATTTAAATCAAGAGCAGCCAAATTATCCAGCAGCATCAATTGCCATGCAGGTGCATCTACTTTTCTATTTATCCTTTCTTAGCTGTTCTGTTTTTTTGGTGCTTTGTGCTAGGAGAACGAGCACGGCACAGACTGTGCGACCTGTCCTACCTCCTGCACTTGTTGTGCCCTTCACAAAGAAACCACTCCTCAGAAGGGAGTAAACCTGAGTGATGGGTCATCCTGTAGCAAGGACAGCTGCCAAGCTTAATTTTCACTTCCTCTCAGAAGAGCCTAAAAGGCTCTCTCACAAAGTCCCCAACTCTTTCTTGCTGCATTGCACAAGGAGGGAAAAAGCAGCTTGATGGGTCCCTCTGCATAAGCCTGCTTGAAGCACGCAGGGAAGAACTTGTACCGAGGAAAATTATCTCCCACAGCAAATGAAAATGCTAGGTCTGGGTGTGGTGAAGTGAAGGGGTTTTACCAGAAAGCTTCTAAGAACAGACACTTCTTTAGTGTCCTAATAGTAAAAATTGCTTGTGAAATTTGGTCGTTCTTACAAATTTTCTTTGTAATTTTCAAGCTTTCCTCTCCAAGAGAACTGCCTACTGGGACTTCTAAGATCATACTGATAAAAGCCAATTATGTTTTCCTGTGCCTGTCAGCTATGTAGAAGAGAGTTCAAAATCTACTTATCCAAGAGGATGAGAGACAGTTAGGTCCTGCCTCTCTATCTTAACCTTGGAAATGTATCTGAAAAATTATTCTCATGGTTTCAGGGATCTGTCTAGAATGATAGTTAATTAACTTGCTAAAATACACTGAGACAGCATTACAGTTTGTAGGGTAATAATTTAAACATTTTCAACCTACAGTATGCTTAAATTTCTAATATCCTTTTTTTTTTTTTCCATGCCAAGAGCATTAAAGCCATTCTGTTAGTTTACTTATTTGTACTCCAACCCCCACATTGTCTAACAGTGGAACTGTGAGCACTGAGAAGGGGAAACTCGGCTGTATCACTGGTTCAAGTAAAGCCTGACTGTGGCAGCACAATAAAAGTCTCTCAAGTATCTGCTCATGAGGCTGCCAGAGCTTTACCTGAGCTACCTGTAAAAGTTTGTGCATGCACAGGATTGGAAATCATATTAATTAAAAGAGCCAACACCTGACAGTGTGTTGAGTGGGTCAGACAACCTTCATTACCCAAGTGGAAAGTAGACGGGAGGGTGGCCTGGACTTTGGGCCTCTGACCCCAGGCAGCACACACAGCATCACAGCTTCCTGTGGACATTTAAAATATGTCTTTTGCTTCCTCAGCTGTGCTCTTCCAGGCAGGAGCAGAGCAACTACAGTGGGAGGGCAGGAGGAGGGAAGCAGCTGCAGGAAGCCGGGGGTGAATGGTCCCAGGCGTGTGCAACCACCTGCTAATTCAGAGGCCAGCTCAAGAGTCAGCTGAGGCCAAAGGTGCCAAGCGAAATCCAATTTCTGTCTGAAGGGTATTAATAACCATGGATACAAGCACCCGATGTTTAGTATGGGGATTCAGCTCCACCCTCTCCAGCTCTTCTTAGGGTAAGGATTACCCTGAACAGAAGGCAATGTTTGAAGGACCGTCTCCTTGCCAAAGTCTAGGGGAACTGCAGCTGCACAGCATCACTGCCACCCCCACATGGTCAAAAAGCCTCCTCAACCCAGAAGCTGCCAAGTCCTTGGTTGTTTCTACTTTTAAGCAATATTCCCATCTGCCTTTCGGATCACAGCCTGCCCCTATGAAATGTTTCTCCTTCTTTCTAACCAGCTTCCATGGTCTCGTCATCAGTGTGCCTCTGTCCTGTTTCCAGCCCCAGCCTCCCTTCCTACAGCAGAGCAGCAGACACCAGAGACCTCACACCTCTTCCCAGCCCTGTACTGCAGCAGAGACTGCCAGTGAATTGTTCCCGCAGGCGGGAGCACTGCCCGTCACCCCCACAGCAGCTGTACTCACTCTTTGGCTTCTGGTGCTTATTTGTGGGACGCACAAACTGCAGCACCTCTGACCACAGCCTGCTCCCCCTCCCAAACAAGCCTACAGGAGCACAAAAGCCCCAAACTGAGGGTAAAAGAGTGAGAGCTGTCAGCACGGTGATGACCACGATGTGGCACAGCCAAGGAACTCGCAGGAACACCAGACATTTTCATGCCATGCCATATATTTTTGCACCTGCATGGAGCAGAGGAGCTGGAAACGCTGCTACCCCAGGCAGGCACCCTGGGGGCAGGGCAGCCTGGTGAGGAGGGTGAGCAGGGAGGAAGCAAGGCCCCCTCACACATGAGTCAACACCATAAGATGATGAGTGAAATGATTCTCTAACTTCAGCGGGGCATGAATTTCTGAGGATGTCTTTTTACAGCACCCTCTCTCACCTTGTTTCCACAGGGCAAATTTCACTCCCGGCTGTCACAGAGTACAGCCCTCCTGTGGACGTTTCATGCACAAAGTAGCTGGCACAAAATTTACTGGCAGCTGGCTATCATATGCGTGGAAACAAAAATGTACTGCATATAACAGGTCAACTTTGACCTGTCAGCATAACAACTTACTCATCTAACACTTGTGCTCATTCACAAATGGATTGTTAATAAGGAAAACACAGATGAAATTTACGTAATAAAAACTAATAAACACTTTGAATACCATCTTATTTCCATGCAAAACTTTAAAAAGTGCTAAGTGCTATGATTCCACATTAAGAAACACTTGCCCTTTTTCAAGGTGAAAAAAATAACACATAAAGAACATAAAACTGTTTTCTTAGGAAGCTAAACATTTTCCAAATCAAGAATTTGAATATTGTCATCCAAAGGCATGAACCTCATGATTCATAGCTGACTTCTACACATAAACAGAAGTCTGCCACAAGACCAGTGTGTGCACCTTAATGAAAAATCTTATTACACAACTCCTCAAACAACAATATTTAATTATTTTCCTATCGAAGTCTCTTTGTAGCTCACCAGCATTTTCTGCTTTTCTTTAAATAGAAACCTAAGCATTTTAAAAAGCAGAAATTTATATCCACAGGTTTAATGCACAACTGATCCTCTTTAAAAAAGAGAAAACCCATGTGCTATGTGAAATACTTTCTATTATTATAATGAAACGCAGCAAGAAGAGTTTGTATTTCTACAAACTCTCTTCTCCCAGAATAAGCTTTCAAACCAAAGCCTTTTCACAACATCTTAACCTTCTTTTATAAAACGTGATATGTTTGACTTCTAACTTGCATTTATATAATGACAAGTTATCATCTCAACAGAAGAAAAAAAAAGCAAGCTGATCTAAGGAAACTCCGTGCCAAATTCAGACTTTCATTTGTAAAAAATAGGACATTTCTGAGATACAAGTCAGGAATCAATACTTTATTTACCACAGATCCAATAGTTTAACTCTTTCCAGGGATGCAATAAGGAAGCCAGAGCTGTCCATTTCTGGATGCACGTTGCAAATGTGTGACTACAAACTCCAACAGAATTCTTATTCCTTATCACTCATTTCATTCTGTTCTCCTAACTGCTACTAACTTCACAAAAAATATGGAAGTAATCTAGAAATCTTTATTGCTGGAAAGCTATGATGGCACTATCATCCTTTGTATAAAAATATTTTAATGCAGTTAATTAGAAATGTTAAATAAGAGTATTTAAATTATAAAATATTTTTATTAGAGCTTCTGTTTTAGCATGTTGAGCAATTTATTGGGACTTTAAAAATAAAACAAAACCTCAATTTCTACTATCCAAGCTTTCAGTGTCAGACATCTGTTACAACAGAAGCACGACAGAGGAAATAATCCCAACAGTGAGGTTCTGCATTACCGGTTGGGACCCATAAAGCAAGATTTGGGAATGATAGAGTGTGTATTTTATATATCTATGCATACCAAAAAGATTATGGGAAGTCTGCCAACTGTTTGTGAACGTGACCTGCCATTGGAACACCATGTCTTACCCAGTTCCTGGCAGGCAGGGTGTTTAGGTGTGATACAGTATGAGCTTGCTGGGGCCAGCTCTAGCATTTGATGAGATGACAAGTAGATTCTTTGTGTGTTTGGGTTTTTTTTGTCGCTCTGAAGCATCACCAATATATCACTCACCCACACACTGCACCCTGTGCAAAAATATCCATTATTTAAATGCTTTAACAGAGACTGCTGACAAGGTATGAGATACTCCACTGCTAGTAAATAACACAAAACCACAAACAGAAAAATGAGACACCTTGTTTTCAGAGGATAAAAGCAAACTGAGAAACTGGAAGAAATGAAGTAAGCATCAGGTTCAATAAAATGATGAAAGGAAAGTCCTGCTGCAAAAACAGGCCTAAAAGTTCTATCCAACCATAAGCTTAGCAAACAATAGATAAAAACAGGAAATGAAACAATGTCACACACGAGAGAACTTTGTGCATGAAATAATACAACTTTTTATTCATATTTTATAGATTACTTTTATTTACTTTTGCTTTAATAATGCATATTCTGTTCACTCTGTGCAAAATTGGAGACAGAGGCGGGCGTTTAAATTGTCTAATGAAAATCAAGCGGAGATGAACATTCAAGTTGAGGGAGAGGCCTATCGAAACCAGGAAAGCTAAAAAGCCACAGCTGCTCAAGATAAAGCTGCTCTCAGCTGCACCCTTTTGTCCTGCCACTTTGCACAAGCCTGGCTCTACTGACTGAGCAGCTGTACACTGAGAAGGTGACCTCCACCCAACACAGGGGACAGGAGTTGTCGTGGTAGCTACATTAGGGAGACCTGGCTTGCAACCAGCTCCAGTCAGTGTGTGGCAAAGAAAGGCACAAATCATTTGCAAAGACCAGATTTCTGTTGGTTTGTTTCCTTCTTGTAAATACATCACTGTATACACTATAAGTTTAAATTGTAAGGGATTTGGGGACATAAAATTGCATATTTATCAGAACTTAAAACCATAACAAAAAGTAGGCTGTTCTATCTCAAAGCAAAAATAATCCCTCTAGTCCCAACATTAACATTCATTCCTGGCTATATGCAGTACAAACATTTAAAAATCTGTGACAAAAGACAATTAAAAACCAAAAGTCAAAATCATAAAGCTTGTAAACAGATAATCTGAAATACATTTTATTCATGGAAAAATATCATCAAAATAGTACCACTATGGACTTAACTGCCTGAGTTTTCATTTCACCTAGGATCTTGAAGTAGAGAGCCTTTAGCACAAGATCAATTTCAGTCACAACTAGTGCCACACAGCACTGCTTCAGGTGGAAATTTTGTCCTCGCTGTTGGTAGTTTTGTTGTGCTATCAAATACTGTTGTGCTAATCCTTCAAATAAAGGGATGTTGAGGCAATTCTTAAATCATTTGGCACAAAGTTATTTTGGCTGGGGCATAAATTTGAGTCTCAGTCATGGAGAATAATGTAACATTCCACCTATCAAGTATTCACTTTGATTGAAGAGCTTTCTTTATGTCATTAACTTCCATCTGAAAAGAAATAAAGTTATTAAATTAGACGCTTTAACAAACTGGGGCACAGCTGATTTCTCTTGAAAAATATGCTCCATCTTGTCCACAGGTGTTGAATATGTATGAATATGGCTTTTATACTACTTGTATTTCCAGAGATTTCAGAAAGGTGACCTTCCCAGCTGTGTAAGATGACAACTCATGGCTTCCTCCCCTCAAAGCCTGATAAGAACAGTCACTGAATGTACCACAAGACCTTTCAAACTCTTTAAATTACAACTTTTACAAGCCACTCAGCTCACAGCCAGGAATTACTTGCAGAATGAGCACTGTCTCCATGCAGCAGCTGCTGCACTTATACCTGGCATAAGTAAACCGACCTGCTGACAATGAACACTGGTAGCTGATGAGCAAAACCTACTGTTTGCTGCTACGGGGATGGCTCTTGCTTGCAGGGATGGCGGTTGCCTTCTGCACCCATCACTCCAAGTGCAGCCATAAAGTCTGCATTTAGGCACTTTAAGGGCTCTCATAAATGTACAGCTGTGTGGTAAAAGGAGGTGGCTAAAACCATCATCACCCCTAGTTGTACATTTCACCCCTCTGACAGACACTGGAATCCCTGAGGCAGGGATATTAGATTTATTCAAACACACGCTCAGTGCTCAACTGTACAGTACCATCAGGGCAGTCTTCTTTAATACATGGACTGAGAGCAGTGCAACTTTATGACTATCAGAGCACTCTTCAACTAATGCAACTTTTGTTTGTTGAACTCTTCATATATATCTTCATATAAAGCTAACTATGCCATCTTGGCTAGCATCTGAATGTTTACAAGGATCAGCAATGTTTGAACTGGAGTAAAAGCATTCAGCTGGATGACCATAATTTAAAACCACCAGTGCAGGTCTCTCTTACATCGGTAAGGTCATTCTTGGAAGTTGAATCCAGACCTCTGAATAGCCTGGCCTATTAGACTGAATCAATAACAGCTATTAAAAATGTTCATTGATTTTATCTGAATACATTTCAACTTTAGCTGAACATGAATTCTGTGTTACTAGAAGCCATACTCCTATGTGGCTGCAATCATAAAGTCCTTTAGGCAGCCCTGGAGCACAGAGATTGACAGTCCCCAGTTCTGCCACCCTTTGTCATGTTCCCAGGCACTTTACTGAGCAGGAACAGCCTGATGAAATTACATTATTAAAAAATAGTACAAAGAAAAAGTACAGTTGACCTATACCATAAAAATACAAAATATTATCAATACTAAACTATTTATGAAGTACATCACTCTCCAAAATCCATTTCACAGGCATTCCACGTTGGAGCATCCCAGCCAATGGGATGGGTCCAGCTCCACCACTCTCACTCAGGCAGGGAGGTGTGCTACCTGGCAAAGGACTAAGCCAGCACAACACCTAGAGCCAAGCTACTATACAAATTATGGCAGCAGTAACTGAGCTCTTAATCAGAGCACCTTCTTTTACATTGTTTGGGATGCTTTAGTAAAGACAACCTAAATACATTCTGTTAAGCTGACATAAAAATCTTGCTATATGGAATAATATAATTCCAATACATCAACACTTAGACAAGCCTACTAAAAATATAAAGCTTTGAGAGCAAACCATTCTAAAGAAATATGACTTAACTTGTGACAAAATCAAACCATTAACATGGAGACTAAAAAAAAATAGGTCATCGTTTGAATGCTATATGGTGTTTATTTGTCTACTTGTGCTGATAAATTTTCAGACAATGATCAGGCTTTTCAGTAAGAACCCAGTATTGCAATATATAAGGCACAGACTGGCAATACAAGGGGACAGGCATATTCCTTTCAGAAATGTTGGTAGTTTTTGGAATCTAAGTATCTTAGCAGGGCTTCATGTCCTACACCTGAGGCTAAAGAAAACCTGCCAGTACTTCCATAACATTATAAATAATTTCAGTACCTGCAGTCGTAAACGGATTTTCTTTTCTTCATCCAATTCAGAGAGCAACTGTTTAATCTCTTTCCTGTTAAATGAATGCAAAAAAAGCTTGGAATGAAAATGATTGAACTAGTAAAACTACAAAAGATCACTTCTTGGAGCCGTACTTTCCATGTTTCACTAGTTACGTGTTTACGTGCTTTCCTCTGAAAAACTAATTACAGTCATGATACTCTTGTACACTATAGGCTATACACTACAGAGAAGGAAAACCCTAACTAAAACTGTGGGACAGCACCCCCCACACCCCATATGCAAATTAACAATTACATTCTCCCCTAACAGCCCTGCGTCCACATATTTTGCTCTGCATTAGCTGTATCTACACTGTGCCAGCACCCTCTTGCCTTTTCTTCCATACAAAGTGGAGATGGATTGGCTGTTGGTGGGTTGTAGGAATTGGTAACACAAATCCTGCCCATGCTATCACATACTTAAACCACTTAAAAGCCATTTATGCCAGCATTAACCATGTAAGCTTCAGCTTCATTTATAAAACTTAATGATCCCAAATATTCTTCTCTGGTGGGAAAGGGAAACATCGCTATGAGGAGCAGACACTTGCTCTTGTTCACACTGAGTGATTCTTCCTTAAGACAGAAACCAGGTGGTGGAAGCAGCCCTTGCAAGGAGACCAGAGGAGCAAGGGTCAGCCCAAGAGATAAAGCTGTGGGGCTTACTTGCTAGGTCCAGCTTGAACTATGTCCTCCTGCATCTTCTCTCAAACTCCCCAGACACCTCTGTTCAGCCACAGCCTCTGCACACTGCTTCCCTTTCTGTTTTTCTTGCCTGGGATACACACAACTAGCAAGGTAAGTGAAGCTTTAGCTTCCAAACCATGAAATACTCTCAGGAATAGCAAAAGCTACAAACCAGCCCTAGTTTCTCCTAAGAAATGAGCAGCCTAAAGAAAAGAAATGCCCAACACTAAAATAGTAAGCTTCAGGGTCATAAACATAAAGGTCTTCAAACTTCCCAATGAAAATTCAATTACTTCTTCTGCAGTACAGCCTTCCTGGGAAAATGTGCTAACAGTCAAACAACAAATTGATTCGATAGTTTTAGGAATTTGTAGTAATTTGTATGAAAACTAGAACAAACGCACCTCTTATTAAGATCAAAGCACAAGCTCCCAAATAGTTGTTGGCAAATTAAACAATAGAAGAACCTTACTGACTGTTTTTAGCTTGTAACTTTTTCAAGATCCCATAAACATCTCCTTAAGTTACAACAAAGGAAAAATAGAGCTGTTACAGATGGACAGTATCAGTTTTTTTTCCTGAGCTTCTCATCTCTGAATGTGTTCTGTCAGGAAAGCAGATGAAAATCACTCACAAACACAAAGTCCAACTGTGCAGAGTAACATATGCCAAGAAGAAATTGCCACCACCATGCATTAATGGATGCATCCCACCTACAGTTGTTATTTGCAGTACTTACTTTTGCTGGTCTTTCATGGTTTCAATGATAGTTTTTAGCTCCTTAATTTGTGTTCTCAGCTCCTCCAGGGCAGTCTGGCCTTGGCTCGAGTGCTCAGTCTTTGGCTTTCCTTCAGTACCAAACAGGGATGGGGAATTTGACCTGTGGCCTGTTGTTCCCATAGCAATTGAGTGAAATCCAGGTGATGGTGAAGGGGATAGTGACGGTTGTACATTACTGCTACCAGCCAAACCTCCTGGTTTTGGAGGTAAGGAAGTTTTATTATCAGATACCTGCAACATAAAGGATAACATTTAATGTCTAGAGAAAATGAAAATCAGACCACTAACGAATATTAAGAATTTTGCTGCTCTTTTAGTCCTGTCATCAAACATGAACAGTTTTGGCCAAAGGATGATAAATATAACAGTCATTATCTTTGTACATGTGCATCAGAGGGGAGTATACTTGGGATGTGGAGGTCCAGACCACTTCAGTAAGACTTCCACAGTTGCTACAACCAAGGTATTAGATGTAGCAGTGAAATGAACCAGGGAAAGATGCTCAGTGTCTCTCTCAGAAGTTTATAAGAACATACCTACACCCATAGATGTCCCCTGCAGAGCACAAAACTGCATGGCTAAGAATGCACATTATATTTTTTTGCAGATTAAATTTATGATAATCAAATAACCATTGAAGGAATCTCCAACACACAATTTTTTAAAAATGAAAAATGTGTCACATGTAATGCGCTTAGCATTACAAAAATAGCAAAATAATCTTTACATTTGCTGTTGTATTATAGAAGAACAAAATCCCACGTCTTAGCGATTGTATTGTTAAAAAATAAATGTACTGTACTGTGTCCTCTGCTAACTGAAGCTTCTGTGAACCCCCTTAACTTTATTCCTTCAGGAACCTAATAGAAAAATGCAGCATTAACCCAGTTACCCTGGAACCAGGAAGTTAGCTCGGAACGACCCCATGCTTCTTGAATTGCAATCCAGTGCTCTACTTATTAGACAAGGTGTAGAAAATCGCAAGTCTGCCTACTATACATGACCAGCTACTTTACTGCATACACAGAACAGTGTACAAGTACAGTTATCACACTGGAAAGTAAGGTGAGTCTTAATTATATATCACATTGTTATTTTGCAATGCTAATGTGTGCATTATACAACAGCTATCAGGACTATCTGAAAATCTGACTCAGCCAAGAGTAAGAAAAAGCACTAGGAAACCCTCCAACTCTATCTGTGGAAAATAAATATTTAAGCTGAATGGCAAATAAGGTTAAGATGCTGAGGAAAAATGGTATGGAAATGTTAGGAGACATTGTAACTGAGGGCACTGGGGTGGTAGCATTAGCAGGCAGAGTTACTGTAAGAAAAGTTACTGGTCAGATGAAAATTGGGAGAAAGTGTGACAGGGAAGGAAGAGAAGGGCCCACCAAGTTCTGCAAAAAACAGGCTTTCCCATTACACAAATGTGAATGAGCACAGAACCTGTCCTGAGCAAGCACTGCATGATTAAAAAAAAATAAAATAAAGTGTTCTGCAGGAAAGGAAGTGTGACCACAGAAATAAAAATGGTGCTATAATTACAAGAAAGCCAAATCTTGATGCTTGACTACATGACCTTAACAGTACTATACATACACATTAAATATATGTGTCTGTGCGTGTGTGCATGTGTGAGTAATGTGTATCTAACAAGCAGATTTTTCACAGATAATAATCCTTATATCAGTAGATCCAAGCTTTCTTTGTAGTGAAAAGAGAGGTCAGGCTGAGTTCAAATTTGGAATCATCCATACTGAACACTTTATTCCAGAGCTTAACCAGCTATCAACATTAAAGCCTCAGGCAGCTTTCTGATAGCAGTCATCTTGTTTTACAGGAACATCATCTACAGCCTTGGCATACCAGCATGTAACTTAATGAGTGTTGGCCCAGGAGTATTCCTTAATTCAAGTGTTCCCAGAAGAGGGAGCTATATAGCAAAAAATTATCCTTATAACTTGATCACAGAAATGCATGACTTCAACCTTCAAATACTTCTGTTACACTATTATAATGCAATATTTGTATTATTAAAGGTATCCTTATGTGCTAAAAAATAGCTCAGACCTCTAAAGTCTCATCTACACATTCCTGTAATATTTTATAATCCCACAGTTTTCTACCAATATACAGTAAGAATGGCACAAATCTATAAAATGAATACAATTATACGAGTATAAAAAGTGATTGTACTTGCAAATTTAAATTAACATACTAATAGACTGCATCAAAGACTTGTATTTTCTCAGCTTGCAGACTTCTAATGTAAATTCAGTTTACAACTGGAAAAGAAAGTGCATTTGTTTCTACACTTTGTTTCCCTAGTTTCTCTGATTCTGATTTTTTTCACAGTATGGTTATGGAGATTTTTAACGGTGCAATTCACTTTAGACTAGTGTTTCAAACACAGAAGAAACTCTACTAACCTTAACAACTTTAAGCTTCTTTAATAGGCTACTAACTAGGTGACTGTTGGAATTAAATTTTAAAAATAAGTTTTGGAATACTGTTTTAAAAATATTAGATGCACGTGATGAGGTTAAGAAGACGTATTCCAAATAACTTACTTGTGATATTGTAACAGTTCTTGATTTCCTTGACATTTCAATAGTTTTGTGAGGAATGGAAACATGTTCCTCCTTCTCGTCTTCAGGACTTGGTGAGTCAAAGAAGTCAGGGCTTGAAAGGGATGACTAAGTAGACAAACACACACAACACAAAAAAGGGGGAAAAAAAATAATCAAACAAATATTTTAGTCATATCAGATTTTAACCAAAGAAGAAGAAATTCATTTATGTGATGACTTTTTTTGTTATCATTTGCAAAGTAACCTAAAATCAGGACTCTCCCTCCCCCACCCCCTTGCTCCCTCTCTTCTATTTTCAAGGCTAGAATGCTTTTAAAGCATTCATGAAACGGGATATACTTAAGAGCTGCATTCAACATTAATTTACATCTTTGCATTGCATTATATCATAAGATGAAAACACCCTCCTGTCCGCAAGAAGAGCTCTACCTCACTTGGCTAGGGCACAGCACCATGCTGTGGGGGTGCCAGCTCTGCCACCTGGGCAGCTCTGCCAGGGCTTTGCTCACTGCAAGTCTCACTTTGCTGCTCTGCAGAGGACTTGTGCTGCTGCCCGTGCATAGTGCTGGCAGTGCAGGGCTGCCTTGTGCATGGCCTCTTTGTCAAGATGCAAACAGGGAAGCTTCTTTCCACTCCTTGTTCCTTTCCCCGTAGATTTGACAGCAGGAAGAAAATGTTTTTTTTACTTGTCTTTTATGTTTCTGTATTCATGTATGTAGTCAATTTGGAAAGCTTTCCTCTTTGTATTTTATTAGCTTCACAATAATCCTGTTTCCTTCCACTTTGTTTTTCTTCAGAAACATGAACACGGGTACCCATCAGTAGTTGCTCTTCTTCTGACACTCCAGAACGCAAAGATGCATGGAAATGAGCAAACCCCAAGCCCCAAAGAAAAAGACACAGGAAACTTAAGCAGTGGTTTCCAAAGTATGGTTTATGAAACCAGCTTGTCTGAAGATACACATTACAAACTGAAATTTAGATCAACCTTAGATTTACTATCGTGAGCTTAATGAGAAGGAACACATGATGGCTCAAGGAGAGCTGCTGAAGGCTGAAATGGTCTGTTTGTCCTCAAAATCTGGTAAATGTCCTAAAGAAACCAAGGCAAATGCTTCTTTTGGGAAATACTTTCAAAATCCTTAATACTTAACACGGACTAGTTCATTCCAAAGATTTTTATAAAGGATTTTTCTAGACTCAGTCATGGCTGGCAAGAAATACTTGGCAGCACCCAAATAAGAGGGTACAAATCTTATAAGGGAGGGAATGTTTTAAAGATCAAGATTTAAAACACATTTGAAACTGATTTTCCTGATTTGCATCTCTGCCTCACCATACGTGTGAAGGAATGGCTGTGCAAATGTAGTAAAAACACCAGGGAACAAAAATGGGGGTGGGAGGGTGGGGGGGTGGGGAATCAGAAAAAAAATAGTTTTAAAAGAAAAGGAAAATTAACTTACAGACGTGAGAGACTGGGAGGGTGGTCGTCTGCCAGTAGCTTTTGGTCTGGTTGTAGTTGGATGATTAAGCTTCTCAGCAATTGGTATTACAGAGTCAAAACCTTCCAAGTCTTAAAAATAAAATGTAATTGATTTGGTTTTCTTTCAGTTGTCCTCAAAGGGA